AACGAAACCGCCCAAGCCTAAAGTCTACCTCTAAGGTAGAATACTAGCACACATCCTGCACACATCTCTATAGTTATTTATTTACCACATTTGTACCCCATGCTTCTCAGCCAAGAGGGTGACTCAGAGCGGCTTCACATATTGGCAACAATTCAATGCCTAAAAACATACAATTGATGAAAACGTCTAAATTAAAAACAGAGAATAAAAATACATACAAACAGTTACATCAATTATTAAAATCACATAATCCAGTGTTGTAGTCCAGGGCCATTCCCAAAAGTCATTGCCCAGATTCTTTGTACATTTATTGCATTGAAGTTAACCTACAAAAGCTTGGTCCCATAGCCATGTTTTAACTTTCTTTCTATCACGTTGCTAGGGCTCTACCTTGTTTAGGTAGAGATGAATCAAAACTCCCAGTTTTAACAAACAGTTTAATTAAAACAGCACTTATTTGCTGGCTGTTTTTATAGTCCAAAATATAAAACACAAAGATAGCACTCAGCTACAGAATAAACCAAAACTGATAGCAAAAATAACTTCATAGTCAAAAGGGTCCAGTCCAATGGTCAAATGCCAAGAGTTCAATAAACAAAGTCCAGGGATCAAGAGTCTATACCGTAGTCAAAAGCTAGTCCAAAGGTTCAAAGTTCCAGGATTCCAAGATTACAGGAAACAGGTCAGGATACCGAAAATCCAACAGACCTGGGGGGCGGGGGAACCAGCAGCATCCACCACCAAAATGCAACTAATACTTTTCTCCCAAAGATGAGTCTCAAAGTTAGCTCCTTAAATCCAGTAACACCCATCTGCAACCCATCTCCTGCACACCTCCACCCCTAATTGCTTTCACCCATGAACTCCCACTTACAGATCACCAAACCCTCTAGAACTAATACTCACATTAACCTTTCCATCACCAACCACCATCAACTGCAGACCATATGACACTTTCTGAAGGCTAAAAGGGGAGGATCTGATCTAACGTTGCTGGGAAGGGAGTTCCACAGCTGAGGGGCCACCACTGAGAAAGCCCCGTCTCTTGTCCTCATCAAATGTGCCTTTGAAGGAGGTTGGAACAAGAGTAGAGCCTCCCCAGAAGATCTTAATCTCTGCAATAGTTCATACCATAGTGCAAAGAATTGATCTTGGATTAAATATAATGCCAGGACATCACTGGCCTCAATACTGTGCGTATTCGCAATGCCATTCCATATTTCATTTCTGACAGATTGGGAGAATGTAAAATATATTGAATAGAAAAAAAATTGAAATCTGACATATGCCTTGGAGATGGTGTCAATGGACTATGCAGTGCATAGACAAAGGTATTATGTGTATGTATTTCAGTTTACAAACAGAATAAAATAGGCCCTTGCTATCCACTGGTCTTGGTTCTGGGATCTACCATCAATATCAACATCCATGGATGCTCAAGTTCCATTAAATACAGTGCTGTATATATAAATGGGAAAAATCAATGTTTTCTATTCTAGATTTTTTTGGAATATTTTCACACCATGGATGGCTGAATCAGTGGGTGCGAAATTAATGGATAGAGAGAACCAGCCTTAAATTCTAAGTGCATTAATAGATACATGGCATTATTAGATGTATAGAAATCAAAATGCATACATGTGGCCAAATTTATTAATTTATTTTCATTTATTTATTTATTTATTTATTTATTTATTTATTTCACAGTTTTCTATACCGAGCTTCTCAACCTCATTGAGGGACTCAGCCCGGTTTCCAGCCATAAAAAACATATACACTCATTAAAATATCATATATCACAATTACAAAAACAACTTTAAAAACACTATATATAAAACTACAGTGGTCAGTTGTCCTATTAAGATGGATCTACATCAACTTCCATCCAGGGTCCTCATTCATCGAAGGCCTGACTCCACAGCCACGTCTTCACCCGTTTCCTAAATGTTAGGATGGATGGATTTACAAAGCAAAGTAGCAAGTTTGTAAATGTGTGGATTCAAAATTAATAATGTCATCTGTATTTCTGTTTCATTGAGGAGATAGGGATTGAACAAATCTATTTTTAAAAATATATGAGTGGAACACATTTCTTCTGGTTTTACATGATGTTAGATGGCACATTCATGCATGCAAGTCATCACTTCATGTTGCTGTGAACCCATGTATTGACTACCCCCTAGCAATTGTAGCACTAAATTTTAAGCAATTCACATGTGTCCATGAGCAAATATCTTAGCTGGAAGGTTACACAAGTCTTGAACGTAATTGTTTGTGAACTGGACAAAATGGTTGCTTCCTTTCCAGAGAGCCCAGAGGATTAAACACATTATAAATCTCAGTTGATGGAAGCCAATGAAAATAGACCTGTCACATTGATTTCGGCTCCTCTTGCCCATTTTGGCCCCAGAACAGCACTCGTTTTAAAGCTACATTGGCATCTCTTTTGTACAAACTTGTCACTGAATAATTCATATTAATTGGCAACAGGGAGGTACAAGGACTTTAAATCAAAGCTATGGAATTTATAAAACTGGACAAGAAAACAGGTCATTACCTTGTATATTTTTTATGGGTTGGTTATTTATTGCAACTGGCCAGTGTTACCCACTTAAACCACATGGGGTTTTTTTTTGTCTTTTCCAAGCAATTTTTGTAATATGACTTGATTCCTGATTTTTAATGTTTTTTTTAAAGAACTATAGTGTGGCAGCACTCACAAAAATAAAGCCTTTACTCTAAACCTTATAACAGGGGCACTTAAGACAGACAAAATGTACACTGTGAACATGATATAACTATTGTGATTGTTTTAATTTCCAATTTATAGTGTTGTTGTTTATTTGTTTGTGACCTCATGGACCAGCCCATGCTAGAGCTCCCTGTCAGCCGTCACCACCCCCAGCTCCTTCAGAGTCAAGCCAGTCACTTCAAGGAGATGATCCATCCATCTTGCCCTTGCTCGGCCCCTCTTCCTTTTGCTTACCATTTTCCCCAGCATCATTATTTTCTCCAAGCTTTTCTGTCTTCTCATTATGTGGCCAAAGTACTTCATCTTTGCCTCTAATATCCTTCCCTCCAATGAGCAGTTGGGCTTTATTTCCTGGAGTATGGACTGGTTGGATCTTCTTGCGGTCCAAGGCACTCTCAGAACTTTCCTCCAGCACCACAGTTCAAAAACATCTCTCTTCCTTTGCTCAGCCTTCCTTATGGTCCAGCTCTCACATCCGTAGGTTACTACGGGGAATACCATTGCTTTAACTATGCAGATCTCTGTTGGCAGTGTGATGTCTCTACTCTTCACTATTTGATCAAGATTGGTCATTGCTCTCCTCCCAAGAAGTAAACATCTTCTAATTTCCTTAAATTTATGGAGACTTGAAAGCAAACCTACCATTGGGTTTTCTGGTTTCTAAGAGTGTATGACTCACTCTAACATCACCTAATAGGTTTCCATGATGGAGAAGGAAATTGAACCCTGGTTTCC